AAAATAGCAACATTAACACAGGAAGACTCATAGCTAAGATTTAACTTTATACAAAAATTAAATAAATAATTGATTTTTTCCTTCAATAGGAAGAGTCATATCTTATCAAAAAAAAAAAAAATCTTCCTTCCTTGGAAATATAATGAAATTTATTGCCAAATTAGTTCTAAGAATTAATTTATTATTTGTAAAAAAAGGAATTAATTTATTATTTAAAATAAATAAATAATATTCCAAGTTTCTACCAAGTCAGGAGAGAAAAAATAATAACATCCCACATTTTTTTGTTGGAAGTGGAACTAAGTCTCAGAAAATCCCAATTACACACAACGTTGCTCTTATTTAGGTATAAACAACATCTTTTATTGACATCTTTCTAAAGAAAAAGAAAAAAACATCGCTTATCGCTAGAAGGAGGATTTGAACCTCGGACCTTGTGGTTAACAGCCACATGCTCTAACCAACTGAGCTATTCCAGCTCCCTGATGTTTTAATAACTCTTAAAATTTCAAATATAATGACTAAAACCTATTTGATAATAATTTTATTTTGGTTTTCTAATTTTAAAATTTTAGTTTATAAACAGTATTTCTCCGCCTATACCTAGGTACTTCTTTGCTTTGTTATCTACTTTTTTAAAAACATTTTCAAAATTTAAGCTAAATATTATAAACTAAAAAATATAAATTCCTTGTGGTAGTTGACCATTTTATTTTCGTTTTCTATTTTCTAAAAATAAGCTCGTAAATACTAGTTTCGCTATGTTCTGGAATGTTGTTTGGGATTGTATTGGTTTGATTGGAAGCTGCGGGAGGACATGGTGGGAGATTTAATTTGGACATGAGTGAAGAATAATGGGATTACTGTCCGCAAGAAAATCCCTCAATGTCTCAAACCAATAATACCATATAATAATATTCCAATGTCATAAATTCATTTGTATTGAACGTACATGCCTCAATTATTGTTGTGTGTGTAATTATGTGTATCGAACCGTCATGTCTAATATGTGATGGCAGCTACTGTGTGTGAAATAATGTGGATATACTTATTCACGATTCACTTTATATATACTTTTTTGNTTGATAGGATAACAAAGTTAAAGATAAATACAGGGAGAAAAATTTTGGAAAGGAAAAAAATAAATTTTCTCAAAATTTAACGTGAATATAAGGTGAAATAAAAACATCAAGTTGAAATTTAAAATAATAATTATTTTAAAAACTATTTTCCTAGTAATTTATTTTCTTTACAAAAAAAATCAATTGGAGAATCATCTTTCACACTTCAAAGTAGTTTCTCAGGCGAACTTCCTCTTTCTGTGTTTTAGAAGATTTTTTCTTCGTCTTCTAGATTTGAAATGGACGTCTTGGGTGAATGGCGGTGAAGAGGTAACTTACAGACTAGCGACAACGAACCAGTGGTCGGCGATAAAGTTCGTGAAAGGAGGAAGAGTAGAAGTGAGACAAAAGAAGAAAGAATGAAAAGAAAGAAGATGACAAAATACCATCACCATAAAAAAAATATTATTAAATTGACATATGTCTCACATCAAGAGATTCTTTGTATCAAGAAAAAATCAATTAAGGGTCAAAACATTCATCACCATTTAAAATTATTTTACAAACATAAAAAATGGAAAGGGTCCTTTTAAAATTTCTCTATGTATCCAAATATAGGTTGTTTATTATTATTATTATTATTATTATTATTATTATTATTATTATTATTATTTTGAGGAAATCAAATAGGTTAATAATTAAAACAATAATACGACCCTGGCTTTCTACTAAACTAATTTTAACTCAATTTTCACTAAAAATTTAATTGAAAAGTTTGATTACATTAGCTAAAAATTTAAAAGGGTAAAACATTAAGGATGAAAATGGAAACTATTAAAAAAATTACTTACTAGGTAAAGCCTCTCTTTTGAGTTAGGACTCATTTTCTAATTTGTCTTCGAACATGATCAAAACACGGATCAAAATTAGGTTTAGGAAATTTTGAAGAACTATATAGCATAAATTAAAAATTAATATATTTTTATAAAATGTCATAATTTTTTTTTAATTTTTGGAACGCCATATAAATTTGACTTTACCTACCTTTCTATTTGAATTTGATTTCTATTATTTTTATAAAGTTTTAAATTTTCTATTATATTTTAGGATACATATTTAGTTTATGATATTTAGGTAATAGTCTCATTAATATTTGACAATCATTTATCTATTCTAAAATTAAAATTTTGAAAAATTAACTACAATTAGTAATTTATCATTTATTTATTCAACTTGTCAATCATATTATGAATAAAAATATTAAAGATTTTTAAAATTATCAATTTATATTAGTAAACAATATAAATACCAATGGTTCATGTAAGTATGTTTTACAAAAACAAAATACTTATCAAACTACCCTGATTTATTTGAATTTTGTTGCTTACCCATGGATTTCATTTTGAGAGGTAAATTAGGAAATTTATCAGTTTTGGAAAAGGGAAAAAAAATCCCTTAATTTTATAAATTATTTTTAAATAATCGTTTGAATGACAAATATTTTATAATAATGGTCAATTTGGAATTATTTTAAGACCTTTATTTCTTGGTATGATTGGTTTGCTATAGTAAACTTTTTCAAAACTTTTATTATGGTTGGTTAGATTAATGTATTGATATATGAAAAAAAAGTCACAATAAATTAAATTCTACACACACACATCCATTATGTACGTACCATATTGTTTGTATGAAATTATTTTTAGAGAGATGTTTTATCCAAATTAAATTTATTATGCGAAAAGTATCGTATTGATCCTAAATGAATGGTTTAGTTTATTCAATGAAAATAATAATATTTTAAACCAATTATCCAAACATCCTGTTGTATAATTATTATCCCAATGAAATAGAAGAAAGACAACCAAAAAATTTTGTCATGAATCAACAATTTCATTCCATAGGGTCCCACCCAAGTTAGGTTTGGACTCCTAATATTTTCGTGCTCTAATCCATTTTCATCTTTAAAATTTTTAATCATTTCTTTCCATTCATATATTAATAATAAAAAAAGATATTTGTACAAACTTTTAGAATAATATGTTGGCCACTTTGAAACTAGGCACACACTTCAATAATTATATATATATATATATATATAGAAGTAAAATCTTGTGGAAATTTCGTTCAATGGGGTTGATAGGATGTGATTGTTACTTTTACCTCGTTAAATATAAGAGCTAGAAAATTTTTAAATATTTTTTGAAAAATGTTTCTTGTTTACCAGATAGCTAGGGCATTGCGAGAGGTAGGTTGGACTGAGGCTTCTTTCAACTACATGCGGCCACAAGGAAGGAGTCGCATATTTTCTTAATATAGAGTCTGAGCCGAGACTATGACCCGTTTGTAACTTTCCTATCTATTTTTTGTTTCCCGTTTCTAATTGGATTAAGAAATCTAAACATTTGACCACTATTTTTATTTTTTATTTCTTATTTTTTAAAAAAGGTATTCTCAAAACTATATAAAAATTTTAGAAATTTCTTATTCTTATTTTCAGTTTATTGCAACGTAAATAAAAAGTATTGTTTTATCATTGTTGAATTTATGGGTGTTGCAAGTCATACAATTCTATTTTTCTTTATTAGAAATGAAGAAACAAGAATAAATAACAACAACGTTACCAAACGAGCTCTAATTTTTTTATTTGACTCGTTCAAAAGAATTGAGTATGATATTTCATCCTCAGAGGACTCGTGGCTTTTACGTAGTTGTGGGAATGAAGGGTTTATTTTAAAGAAAACAACAATTGTGAAGTGGGCTAGATGTGAATTGAGAGGTCTGAAAGTGGCCTTGACCAATAAATTAGACTAAAGATATGTTGAGTAATTTTCAACTTATTTTTCTATATGACATATAATGTTAGTAGTGAGGACACCATAATTTGCACTATATTCAAGTGTTGCTTGATTTTTATTACAAAACCCTTGCTCCCTCAGAGAGCTTTGGTTCATGAATTTGATATATTTGAGCTTGCATTGTTTGGATGAGGAAGTCGAGTATTGTGTAGCCTCTGTTTGGATGTTGAGTTTATGTAGTCTATGAAACTTGCAATCTCATGGTAAGTAAATACATGTAATATACTATAGCCAGAGATTTCGTCTAGGGCGTTCTCCATCATTAAAACGTCTATTATTGAAAAAAAAAACAAAGACACTCGTATAGATGACGGTCACATTGTTTCGTGTCTGTCAATAAAAGTCGAATTTACTATAGTGTATGAAAACACATTTGAAGCTATAGTCAAATTTTAAAAACAAAAATAAATTTTTAAAAATTTGAAAAAAAAAATTGGCTTTGAACATGTCTATAACAATTATTAACCAGACAAATTGAGATGATTCTAAACTTAATTTTTAAATATAGAAAAACTAGAAAATGAAAGGGCTATCGACGGGGTTTAATTATTAGTGAATTTTCAAAACAAAAAAAAACAAGATTTGAAACTATATTTTTTAGTTTTTAAAATTGAGCTTAGATTTTTAAAATATTCTAGAAGAATATATAACAAAGTAAAAAAGAATAATAAATAAAATAGTGTTTACCACCTAACATTAAAAATAAATTAATTATCACACTAACATAATTTATTTGTTGGGAGAAGATAATATTATCTCGCTTTTTTTTAGTATAACAAATTAGAAGTACGAGGGTCTAAACTCAATTATCATTTTTTAATATAACATGTGGAGATAGTGGATCGAATTACAGTTTAACTATGCTCTTGTACATAATAATTTCTCACTTAAATGTGTAGATTAGTTTGAGTAGATATGTTACTGCATTATGGATAGCTCTAAGTGGACGTTGAAAATGAATTATTTCCTTAACAAAACAAATAAATTGATCAATTGTACAGACGCTTGTA